ACCTTACAGATAATAAAAATTTCTGCCTCCTATACAAAAGTATTTCTGATGTTCCAAGGATTTCTTTGTATTGGAAGAAGTAAGAGTTTCAGTGTAGCATTGGCAAAGACTTTTTTTTTTTTTTCCTGGCAAGCTAATATTCTGGAAAAACATGTAATTTGGAAAGTGCAGTAGCCCTAAGTGACAAGTCAGACATTTGTCTTCACTGAATTTTTGTTTTCAGCAGTCAAAAAGGTCCTTTAATAAAGATAGTGGCAATGGACTTTGTTACTCAATAACAGGACAGTGAAGAGGGCAAGTAACAAACTATGGCAGCTAAAGGACAAGCGTGCTTGATAAGTCGAGGGATACTGAAGTAGAAATTTCAGCCTTGAAATTTATTTAAGCCAATCTATTGGTTGTTTTTGGCAGCAAGCAAGCATAAAGGAGGTCAAGAGCCGAAGCAGTTCTGTGAATAATTTCAAAGCTATGCCTTTCTCCATTGACCAAAAATGAAGTGGAGAAAGAGGAAGAGTTGTTAAACGCCGTAGGTCACTGGTGATTAGAGTGCTCCCGAGGAATATGGGAGTGCTGAGGAGGAATTGAAGCTGCCTATGCAGTACACTTTCCTGGCCTTGAGTACTCGAGGCTATTTGCTGTTCAATGCCTGATCCAGAAAAGTTCCTGTGTACAGCTATCCTGACAAACCTGTACTAACATACGCTGTTTACCAGATACGCAGTGACACGCTGTATTTGGTCAGCAGGATGTTGTGTTGCTCCGTATGTGCTCGAGCACGTTGGAGCATGGAGCACAGATTATGCATATGCTAGTGGCAGTACATTTTTTTATTATATTTTTTTTTCCTGCAGTGGTTGTTTGAGGGAACGCTATGGCTTCTGCTCTGTAGGTGCTCTTTTGTTAGAGTAACAGCAGCAGGACAGGGTAACAGTAATGGGGCAGAAAGAGCTGCGGGTACAAACCGATGGTTGCAGCGTGCTCCTGGGGCTGCTTTATACACGCTGGAGACCTTGCTTTGCCATTAGCATGCTAGGGTGCAACTGCTCATCTGCTGGCTGCAAGTAACCGCTCAGGAGTTGCCTTCTGTCTCACCCTACATCCATTTTGAAATGTCATATGTGGTTGCTTGCCACCTGGCTATCTCCTCCTGTAGTATTGCCAGAACTTTGTGTGGACTTTCAGAGGATCTGAAAACTATTAAGCTGGATGTTATTTCAGTGAACAGACCATCTCTACCTTGTCTAATTTACTGTCAGTATGTTTTTCAAGCTCCAAACTACTTTTGTTGTACAAACATAATAGTTAAACCTCATTTTTGAGGCCTGGATAGCATTGCTCTAATCCAGT